TCGGGTGTTCCTCAAGGTTCTATTTTGGGCCCTTTACTTTTTAATATTTATATTAATGATTTTGTTTACTCTTCCAACATTTTAAAATTTATTTTATTTGCTGATGACACCACTCTTCTCTATTCTCACTCGGATTTTAATGTACTTGTTTTGGTAATTAACTACGAACTAAATTTTGTTTACGATTGGGTTGTTTCAAATAATCTACGTATCAATTTAAGTAAAACATGTTTTATATTATTTGGTCCTAAAATTAGAACAGATATTGTTTATCCAGTTATATATTTAAATAATATTACTACTGAAAGGGTTGAGTCATTTAAATTTTTGGGAGTTATTTTGTCTTCTAACTTATCTTGGTTGAATCATATCAAACATATCTCTTGTAAACTGTCTAAAAACTTGGGTCTTATTTATCGATTGAGATTTAAATTTCCTAGATTTATTTTAACAACTTTATATAACTCTCTTATTCTTCCTTATTTGACTTATTGTGTTTCTGTTTGGGGTGGTACATCTAAATCAAACCTTCATATTTTAACTCTAGCTCAAATTTTTTTTCTTCGCATTCTGTTTAAATTAAAGAGATTTGACCATGTAAGTTCATACTATAAAACAGCAAATATCCTTACCATAAACCAACTACATATTATTTATCTATTACTATCTTTTTTTAAAATATATAAATTAAATTATTGTCAATCTCTTAAAGACCAGATTAATTTATTTATAAATACTAGGCAAAATTGTTTACGTTCTAATTCTGAATTTTACTTTTTGAAACCTAGAACAAATTTTTTTCTCAACTCCGTCTTATATATCTCTATGCGTCTTTGGAATTCATTACCGATGACTACTAAAAATTCTTCTTCCCTTGCTCTATTTAGAAAATCTATCTATTTGCTCATTCAGTCTAATTATTTCAACCATGTCCTCTGTTAATGCGATTGTTTTCCGTTATGTACTTTATATTTATTTAATTTTAAGAAAGTTTATTAATACTTAAATAATTTAATTAATCTTATTTTTTCTTATTTACAGAACTATCATTATTTCATTGTGAAATATGAACATTTCTTTTCAATTTATAATTTTTGGTGCAAATTTTATGGTGGCCCAACAAGTCATATCTTCGGGTCTCCTAGCTTTTTGCTGAATAAACTCATTATTGAATTGAATACATACATACATACATACATACATGCATACATACATACATACATACATACATAAATGTGTATGTAGAAGAGGTTTCACATTTTCAAGGGGATTGAAAGTGCATCAAACTAAGATTGGATGTCTGTCAAGTACGTCGCAACGCTCGAATCTTGTGTTCAAAAAGACGGCGAAATCTACTTACCAGGATGAAATCCACAGTGTAAGTGGATTCCACGCGTCGGATTCGGTAGAATGTCCAGTCAGAAAACGCATTAAATTTCCTCCAGCCTCAGAGAGAGTAGTATGGTCTAAATTGGACGCTGAAATCATCAGGACCTTTATGGCGAGCAGTTCATCTGATGTCCGTTTGTTCATAGATTTTTTGTATGAAAAATGTGCAAATCTGTTTGGTTTCGTGAAACATTGGTCAAACCTATTGAAATGATGTCAAGAAGGCAGAGGGAAATTAATCAGCTAAAAAGCGAGCAAAAACGCCTGAAGGAATTATGGAAAATGTCAAATGGAGAAGAACGTGATGGTCTAGCTCAGTTGAGAAATGACATCAGAGTAAAACTGAGCCAGCTGCGTCAAGTGGAAAGAGTGCGGTCAAAGAAATACCGACAAAGGAAATCTAGACAAGATTTCTTGCCAACCCATACCGCTTTGGGAAACGGTTGTTTGAACAAGAGGTGTTGTTGGTTGTTCAGTGTACAGCTTTTTGAAGGATGTGGGTTTGGCGGGTAAAAGACGATCGAATTGTTTGAAGAACCTGGGACTCACAGACGAACAAGTGTCTTACTGGATATGCTTGTGTACGAAGAAAAAGGAATGCGAGTTTAAATAATTAACAGACGAGCTTGTTTGCGCGTAAAGCTTCCGATTTTTCAACAATCCCAGATTCAGCTCATCGTATTACTTGTTACTTGGCTAGTCGATATAACTCACATTATGATATGTTGATATGTGAACTTTCTGGCACGCCTGCAGATTTTTACAGTATAAAAGAAGCCAAAATCCTTCAAAAAGCTGTACATTGAACAACCAACACCTCTTGCACTAACCTCAACTGCGTAAAACACCTTCTATTATGGGTTTTCGCGCAGGCTGGTCAATTTTCATAGCTTGTCAATTTTTTTTTATTTTGATGTTCAATATTAGTATTTTATTTTAAATTTTATTAATTTAATTATTTTAACTCCAAACTAAACTGCATATATTTCTTTTATTTATTTATTATTATTGCTTACGGTTTTTATTATTTTTCTACGGTTTTAAATATTTTGGTTTTCGTTCTATCATTTTAAACCAGTTTTATTTTGATATTTAATACTCATATTTTATTTTAAATTTTATTAACTAAATTATTTTATCTCCTAACTAAACTGCATGTATTTCCTTTTTTATATTTATTATTATTTTTTACAGTTTTTATAATTTTTTTCGGTTTTCAATATTTTGGTTTTATTTCTATCATTTTAAACGGGTTTAGATAAATATTAGTTTAATATTAGCCTAGTTTTATCCGTGTTCTTCTATTTTACAGTAATATCATACTTAATTTTATCATAAAATTTTTAACATTTCAATTTTTATTGTATGGGTCCAAGCTAAATTCTTAATATAATTTTTTATATTTTTTTATAATAATTTCAATTAACATTAATTATATATATTGACAATTAACATTAATTACAACTTTGACGCATCGAAGTTCCGATTCCAGACATCACTGTAGAGGAGCTTACAGAAGCTCTGAAAGCTATGAAGGATGGAAAGGCAGCAGGGCCCTCTGGACTCACAAATAACATAATCAAAGCATCTGGTACTGCAGGTATCCAAACGTTACAATAACTTTGCCGTGAAGTGTGGAGAAATTGCTCAATGCCGACTGAATAGAACTATAGCATGACAGTTCTGCTATACAAAGGCAAAGGTGATCCATTGAACTGTTCATCATATCGGGGTACACGTCTTTTAGAACACTCCCTGGAAATTGTCGAAAAAATCAATGAGAAAAGATTAACGTCGTGCATCACAATCGGAATTTATAAATTGGTTACCTAGCGGAGAAATCAACAATTGATGCAATTCACATCCTTCGGCAACTGCAAGAGAAGTACCTCGCAAAGCATCAACAACTATCACATATTTTTGTAGACCTTGAAAAAGCATTTGATCGAGCTCCCCGTGAAGCAATCAGGTGGAATCTACGTCGACAACTCATTCCAGAATATCTTGTTCAACTTGTGATAGAAATGTATACGAATACTAAGACTCTCGTCAGCACAACGGTTGGAAACACAGATGCATTTGATATCGGCGTTGGAGTTCACCAAGGCTTGATTCTCAGTCCACTGTTATTTATAACTGTGATGGAAGAAATCACAAAACCGATACGCACTAGTGACATTTGGAATCCAGTATATGCTGATGATATCGTTTTAACAGCCACGTCTGAGCAGAATGCAGCAAGATTGGAACACCAGACTCGCCGATCATGGATTCAAAGTCAACATCAGCAAAACCAAAGCAATGAGCACTGGTGATCCACATCTACTGGACGAGGGCCCAGTTCAGTTTGTAAAGCTGGTGTAGGTAACAATTCAATCAAGTGTCAGCAGTGTAACCAGTGGTGTCACAAACGTTGTTCAAAAATATTGGTACTTTATCTAAAGTGTCCAATTTTGTTTGTCCTGCTTGCATCAATCCACAACAAATTCGAAATTGCAATGTTTTTGAAGCCATTAAGGTAGAGAAAGTAACATCGTTTCAATATCTAGGGAATGTTCTGGATTGTACTGGAACAGCTGAAGCTGCCGTTCGAGCACGCATACGTGTAGCCTGGAATAAATGGCATCTCCTTGCCTCTATATTGATGCGGTGTGACATCCCACTACCACTATGATCAAGACTTTATAAATCTGTGATACGTCCGGTGTTATATGGTGCAGAAACATGGCCAATGACAACCAAACTGGAACAACAACTTCAACGAACCGACATGAAAATGCTTCGATGGATGCAACGAATTAGTCTGAAGGACCACATCAAATCCACCGAAATTCTGCGTCGTGCTGGTTTAGATGATATAAAGGACGAATGCCGGCAACACCGTCTGCGGTGGTTTGGTCATGTCAAACGAAGTGAAAACAGTGCCATAACTTTTCTTGCAGATGTTGAAGTACCTGGCACACGTCCCAAAGGCCGTTCAAAAAAATCCTGGTCGTAAACAATCGAGCAAGACATGAAAGCTCTCGAAATATATACAACTGATCGTCTAATTTGGCGCAAAAAATTGATGGCAAAGAAAACAAAGTCCTACCTCGGAGAACTGGGTTCCTAGACGCTAAAAGATGATTGATTGATTAATTACATACATATTCAAATTACATGGTCATAACAGTTGCGCATAGCGTAATAGTATGTATTGTGCATGTACACATTTCGCATTGTTTTGTATTATCTGATATTCATTAACCTCGTATTAAATGACGCGTTTTAGTTTTGTTTTTTATATTGATTATTCAATCTTTCACACCAGTTCATAAGTTTTGATTATAATTTGTGTTTAAGCTAAGAGCACTGTTGTGGCTAGAGGCGCTGAGAGTTGATATTGCCGTCTTAGGCAAGATACGTGCCGGCCATTTGTGAAATTATTGTCATTGGTCGGGTGTGTTTGTACCTATTTTTTTGTTTGTTAATTGCACGTGAGCTTCACAATAACTTTATAATAAAAATATCTTAATATAATTAGGTTTTTAAATATAATCAAGATTTTAACGACTCAACCTGCTAAAATATATAAACTAATAAATTTTTGCCAATTAAGTTACAACATCAACATGTCCAGCCAGGGTTCCGCGTCTCAATCGGCCTCCTTCACCCGTTGTCATGTCTGCTTCAAACATAACAGGTCGAGACATGACGGAACTCTCGTCAAAAACGGTGGAAAAGTGAAGGGTACGGAGTGCTCTTGTTCATTGAAAATGCCACCCTCGGTTGCAGGCAGGAAATCGGTTGGGGGTCGAATTGGGAATTTGTCAATGGCGGGTGTTAAACCGAAAACAATAAAGACTGCTGTAAGCGAAAGCTAAGATTCATTTGACAAATCCTTTTTTTAAATGTCATCAAACTACCGTTTGATTAACCACATACCAAAACACTGGCGTGGTAAGTTTGGTCAAGTTTTTATCAACATGCTGAAAAATATATGTGATCACCCATCTGAATCCACGGTATGGTTTAAATTGTTATTCCTTCCAAAAATGGTGCTTTATGAAGATCCCCGAGGAGGAAGAGGTCGTAATATCAGCGTTCAAATCAACAGTAGGCTCGATGCTTTTACTAGTGGCCCATTCGAGGTAAAAGCCATGAAACCTGTTTTAAAAGATGAAAGGGGAGGAGGTCGTCAACCAAAAATTTGTGCCATGGTTAAAAGCAAAAGTGAAAAAGGTAATATTCGAAATGCCATGAAAATTTTGTCATCAACGGACACCATGGCTCCGAACTCTGACGATACTCTCAATGCTTTAAAAAAAGCACTACAATACCCCGGCTGACAGCAAACTCAGTTTATAAAAGGAAAATTTTAGCGTCTCTATTACTGCTCAGCAACTGATGCTGTGTCTAAGACAATTTCCAAAAGGAACTTCCGGTGGAAGAGACGACCTAACCCCCCAGCATCTAAAAGATATGGCGCATGAAAAAACCGAAACCACCGAGCTTATCAACGCAGTGACTTGTTTCATAAACCTTTTGCTAAATGGTGTTTGTCCTCTTGAGGTGGTTCCATATATGTTTGGTGGGATACTGATAGCACTGTTAAAGAAAGATGGTGGAATTAGGCCCATTGCTTTTGGTTGTGTGTGGAGACGTTGGTCCGCTAAATGCGCTCTTTTGGTTATTAAGGAAAAAATTACCCCAATTCTCCAACCAGAAAAGGTCGGTGTAGGAGTTAGCGGTGGCGCAGAGGGAGCGATACACGCTGTCCGGCGGTTTGTGAACAACATGAGTGAAAGCGAGGGTTTTATAAAACTGGATTTTTCCAATGCTTTTAATTTATTGTGTCGTGACCACATGCTCAGCTGCGTGAAATCTCAACTTTCGGAGATTTATAACTTCTGTTGGCTGGCTTATGATGCAAATTCATTCCTATCGTTTGGCAATGATATTGTTTTATCTGCCGAGAGTGTTCAACAGGGTGATCCTCTAGGTCCTCTACTTTTTGCATTAGCAATTAACCCTCTGATCAAATCTTTTCGTTCAAGATTTGTTGTAGCATATTTGGACGATGTGGCTCTGGGAGGGTGTATTAAAAACTTATCTGATGACATAGAATTTATCAATAACAATTGCAATCACTACAGGTTGAAACTTAATATAAAGAAATGTGAAATAACTACGTGGTCAGCTACAGAAATTGTTTTCATAATATTAATAAAATTAAAACATTCGACCTTGATTTTTTGGGTGCCATTATTTTTCAAGGTGATTGCCATACCAATTTTTAGTCTAAAAAGTTTGAAGAGTTTAAATATATTATGTCGATGACGGAAAAAATTAATAAACATGATGCTCTTCTTCTTATCACTCAAACAACTTTTATCCCAAGACTTTCTTATTTTCTTAGGACTTCGCCAAACCCTCCTAAAGATTTTTCTAATTTATTCAACAATGAACTTCGTATGGGACTCTAATCTATTTTTAATATTTTTTTGACGATAAAGGATGGACTCAGGCAGTTTTTCCCGTTGGTATGGAGGGATTGGGATTGGGCGTCGAAGCTGATTTGGCATCATCTGCTTTCTTGTCTTCAGCCGCGGCCACGGCGACCCTTCAAACTAATCTACTGCCGGACGATGGAGAATTTGAGGACCATCTGAGGATTGAAACTTTTAACCACTGGTGTTTTATATATGGTAACGTAAACAGCATAGATGTGAGCTCACAAAAATATGGAATGAACCTTTCTAGAATAAATCGATGTCTCAACTGGAGGAGCTGAATATATCGCCCCAGGATAAGGCAAGATGGCTGTAAAAAGTGAACTTGGTTCAGCTTGAATAAGGGCAGTTCCTAGCACAGAACCTGCAGGTCTAATTTCCGACAGTAACAACAGACCAGATGGTTATATACTCGTCCCATGGTCTTGTTTATCGTGGGATGTAACATTCGCTCACACGCTTGCTGAAAGATATATTGGTTACACTTCGGCCGCAATAAAAGCTGCTGATTTCAAAAATAACAAATATAAAGAATTAAATGATAATGCAAAAATATTTACATTAATATGTATTGAAGTTGCTTGAAGGTGACTTACAAAATATTAGGGTAAGTCATGATCTAAGCCCTGAACAGCGTGTTGAATTGAAATCGCTGTTGGATAAAGCCAAGTCTAAAAATGTTGAAGATAATGATTTTTTATACAAGGTCAGAGGCCCTATCGGACGGTGGAAAATAATCAAGTTTCCCAAAGTAGTCACTGCTCAATAATTAAAATGGGTTTGTATAATATGAGGTCTATTGTTAATAAGCTTGGTGTCGTTTATGATTTATTGTCTGATGATCTTGATTTCTTTGTTGTTGTTGAGTCCTGGCACGGTTCTTTAGATCATAATATAATCCAGTTAGCTATGCCGCCTGATTATGTTTGTGTTGATCGTTTGAGGCCAAATGATCCCTATCATGGTGGCATTATTGTCTTTTTTAAGTGTTCTTTTGGTTTTAGGAAAATTGAGCTTCCTGTTGTTCAAACATTTGAGACACTGGCCATTGTTTTTTCATTGAGAAATTCTAAAGTAATTCTGTTGTCCATTTATCGTCCTGGGTCTGAATCTGTTTCTGCGTTGTTCTTTAGTGAATTTACTACAATTATGGAGTATATTTCTGTGTGTGCTGATTTGTTGTTGATAGTAGGTGATTTCAATATACATGTTGAAAGATTGAATGACAGGAATACAGTTTCTTTGTTGGATATTTTTGAATCGTTTCATGTTTGTAATTGGGTTGTTGGTCCTACCCATTCATCTGGTGCTACACTTGATCTTGTTGTTTCGTCTGCTGATTTTCCTTCTTGTGATTGCACAGTCTTTCCTAGTAATGTCCATTCTGACCACAGTTTTATCAGAGTTGATTTTCCGTTTGTTCATCGTCGGACGAGGATTGTTGAACGATTGGTGCGATCATGGAATAGGATTTATAGTGAATTATTTGCCCGTCTTGTTTCCCAGTCTTTTGTTGGTGGTCCTTTTACTGATGGTGATCCAGAGATTGTTTATTCAAAATTCATGTCTAGTATGCAGTCAATAATTGATGTTGTTGCCCCGTTGCATTATGTTAAAACCAATAGCTTCTATAATTCTCCTTGGTTTGATGATCAGTGCAGAATATGCAAAAGATTGTGTCGTAAACTTGAACGTGTTTATCGTCATATCCCGAGTGAGGCTAATAAAATTGCTTGGAGAAATGCACTAATGAACAAAAGTTCTCTTTTCTCGGACAAAAGGAATTTGTATTGGAAAAATTTGATACAGATGAATAAGTCCAGGCCTAAATTATTGTGGAACATGGTGAGTAAATTGTTTGGTAAATTCTCGGATAGCCATAGTTTGAGTGAATCAATTAATTTTACGCCATCTGATTTTGCTTCTTTTTTCAAGGATAAGATTAAGAGGGTGATGGACTTAACAGCTTCCTCGATTGTACCAGTCTTTTCTCATTGTAGGTTTCGGTCTGATGAGTTGTTCTCTGCGTTTTCTTTGTGCTCGGGTGACGAAATTAAAAAAATTGTTTTAGGATCTCCAACAAAATCTTTTTCAAATGATTTTATTCCGACTCAAGTTTTTAAATCATATATCGACTTGTTTATTCCATTCTTGACATTTTTTGTTAACTTGTGTTTAAGAACTGGTTGTTTTCCTAATCCTCTGAAACACGCTGTTGTAACTCCTATATTAAAAAAGTCATCCCTTGATAAAAGTGATATTTCTAATTTCCGTCCAATATCCAATCTGTTGTTTTTGTCTAAGGTTCTTGAACGTATTGTTTTGGGGCAATTCTTAAGTCATCTGAATAGACATAATTTGATGCCTGTTCACCAATCGGGCTATAGGCAGAACCATTCAACTGAGACAGTTTTAATTGATGTTACGTCTACATTATTTGCAGCTATGGATCAACACTAAGTTTCATTGTTGGCTTTATTGGACATGAGTGCTGCCTTTGATTGCGTTGATCACACCTTGTTGATAAATTGAAATACTTTTTTGGTGTCTCTCATGTAGTAGCCTCATGGTTTGAATCATACCTGATTGGAAGGACTCAGCAGGTTTTCTTTAACAACGGGTTGTCAGATGTTGAGATAGTCACGTCTGGAGTTCCTCAGGGCTCAGTCCTTGGGCCTTTGTTGTTTTTACTTTATACAGCTGATATGTTCCCAATTATTGAGGAATTTAATTTCAAGTATCATGCGTTTGCTGACGATGTGCAAATAATTGTTCCGATTGCATGTAATACAACGTTTGAAGATGAAGTTGATAGATTTGTATGTTGCATCGAAAAACTCAATGGGTGGATGATAGATAACAGATTGAAGATGAACGAAGGTAAAACTCAACTACTTTTGATTGGTACCTGGCAACAGCTGGAGAAAATTGATGTTAAGTCCATCAACATATCTGGGTCGGATGTTAATTTTTGTTCCTCCGTTGGTGACTTGGGGATCGTATTGGATCAAAATATGTCAATGAATTTTCATGCCAAAAAGCTTAGTAAGGAGTGCTCATTTCAGCTTAGAAGGCTTAATCAAGTTAAAAACTCATTAGATAATGACACATTGAAATGTTTGGTTCATGCATTTGTTCATTCAAAGTTGGACTACTGTAACAGTGTTTTCTATGGAGTATCAAACAGTACATTGTCTTCTCTACAGTCAATTCAGAACAGAGCGGCCAGGATTGTTAGTGGCCGTTTGAAGTTTGATCACATTAGTCAAACGTTGTTGGATCTTCATTGGCTTAATGTTAGGAAAAGAATCTTATACAAAATTTCCATCATGGTGTTCAAATGCCTGAATAGTCTCAGTCCAAGTTACCTGTCTGAAATGATAATACGTAGAGTTAGATCTCACCCGTCAATCAAGTTGCGTTTAGATGATCAAGATTTATTGATGGTACCGAAAACAAAGTTAGCTGTTGCTGATAGAAGTTTTGCAGTTGCTGGTCCTTCGATCTGGAATAATTTGCCCCATCACCTGCCTCGACCGAGATTGACTCTTCAACAGTTTCGCAAGGAATTGAAAACTCATATCTTCTTGGATTGATTCGCACAAATCATGGAGCGCCTTTGGGTGACAATAAAAGGCGCTCTACAAGTTCTCTAATAATAATAATAATAATAATAATAATAATAATAATAATAATAATAATAATAATAATAATTGAAACGTATGGACCCATTGATAGGGAAACACAATTTTTTATCGATAGCATTAGTTTTAGAATTGTAAAACATTCTGGCGATCCAAATGATAAATAATATATTAAACAAAATATTTCTTTATTGAGGCAAAAATTTAATGCTTTTTGTATTTTAGAAAATATTGCCAAATGCCCTTCTGTGCGAAACCCATAAACATTAACTAGCGAGCAGGGGCAAAATGATAGTTTTTATGACTCGTTTTTGACCGTGGGCTCGTACATAAACATTAAACATTAGTTAACTTCCAATTTAACTTTTCGATTTTTCTAACGGTTGAACGAAAAATCGAAAATTTAAATTGGAAGCTAACTAATAATTGCATTTCTGACAGTCTTAATCCTATATATATATATATATATATATATATATATATATATATATATATATATCCTAACTTAGAAACAATTGAAACAAAAATCCGGCACATATTCGAAACCCGGTTCAATGTTTGGCAGAAGCCGGATTTAAGCCGAATTTGGAAAATGGCCAAATTTCGGTTCCGGCACAGGCCGATATATGGATAAGGGGGTTTGAGTAAAATTTCTTTGCTACGGAATTGTTTAAAAATATTATTAAAATGGACTTTAACCAACTCCTGCCAGTGGCGGACAGAGAGAGCCGAGAGATTTACAAAAATTTTTTGACGACCGGAAATCGGGGAGCCGACATTTTTACGGCCAACTTTTAAGGTAATGTCTTCAAGCATTTACTTAACATCTTTTTTGGAGCTTATTATTTCAAAAATACCACTTTTTTCGTTAAAATAACGACTTTTACTAACTTTTAACATAAACAACGTTCACAACGGGAAGCACGGCCCCCCAGCCCTTCTATATCCGCCACTGACTCCTAACGAAATTAATAAAATCAAAAACTCTTATTTTTCGACAGATCTTGAAGAAGGTACTTAGTCATTAAAACGATATTGTAGGCCTTAAATATGAAAATAAAAACAACTAAACAAAAATAACGCTATTCAACCATTTCTTATACACCAACTGACCGTGCATCATTTCCCACAAGACAGAGCAAAAACTGTACAGATCCGACTTTTCTGTTGGAATTTTTCCATCCATAACTTCTGGGGCCATCCAATTGTAGGCTGCATTTGTATACTTATTAGTTGTCACCTGAGTGTTCAAACGAGAATTCCCGATCGTAACGTTGTAACTAGTTGTTGATGTGTTGGCTGACACTGATGAAGACATTGTTGAAAAGTTACTAGCTGGATGGCAACTAGAAAGAAAAAAAAAGAAAAGTTACTAGCTGGATGGCGACTAGATAGAAAAAAATTATGATACTAACTAACATAACAAAGACTTTTAAAAAATATAACAACAAAGTGACATCTATGAAAAATATAATAGCGGATTTTAGATATGCAACAAATAACAAATAAATTGAAAACTATAACGAAATATAACAAAATCATGGATATGATGAAATCAACAAAATAGAATGGTAGTAATAATAAAACATAAAAATCATTTGCAAGTAGCTAGTAGTAAAGATATTAATGTTGGCAGCAACATGGTATCATTGGAAAACAGTTGAGACAGTAGTGTAGTCGGATTCGATATTGGAGCATTAAAATTAGTAGCAATAATGTTGAAACATATGTAGCAATAATAAAAATATGGAGAAGCAGTATCAACGATAGTTATATCAAAATGTGAAACAATGTCAGAAGCCAAAATACGAGTTAGTAACAAACCGTTGATTTGTAATTATAAAAATGTACAACTACCAACCTGTGTATCATATACTCAAAGTTCCCAACTCTAACCAAGTCATGTCTGATGAGAAAAAGCGAGTGTGAGGTGACGTAACAATGAATGAATCCCTTCCTATGAAGGTACAGCAAAGCACTGGCCACTTGTTTCATCAGTGTACATATTTGTAAGAGTGACATAGACTCCATCTGGTTAGCAGAAATGCTTTCATAATAGAAATTAGTTATTATCCTCATTATCATAAATCTATCACGAATTAAAAAAAAACAATTAATAACAAATTCAATTTGGTTAAGTAAGGGATGTCACCGTTGGCTTTACCAAATTACTCTATAAATTTGACCTAGAGAATAAATTTTCAAGAATGTTTGTGGGTCCACAAAGTTTTAACTGCAGCCTCACTTCTGGCAATCACCTTTTAAAACTATGGCAATAAACACAAATTTTAGCAATTAAATTACTCTAGAAATTATTATTATGTATAATTTTTATAATTATTTTTGCTTATTTTTCATTTAATTTTTTATGCATCCATGGCGTACAATTGCACTGTTTACGATTGTTGAACAATTTTATGTAAGTCTGACTTAAAATTCCATTAGAGTCACAAAGGCAAACTTTTTCTATAAGAAAAGAGAGCAACATACGAGGATCGTTTCAGCCTCATCTACCTACACAGTATACACATGGAAAAAATTAAATAGAACAAACAAAAACAAAGTATTGTAATTTTACAAATTAAGTAAATCAAAATGCAAAATAAAATCAAATTAAAAAACTTTACAAAAACCAGTCTCAAAAAAGGGAAATGTAACCTCACCTTCTGATGCAGATATGAATAGAGTGAGCCAAGATGCACTCTCTCATAGACCAGGATTAAGTTCTCAAGGTTGTCAGTTCGACAAGTTCCCATCAAAAACAATATGGCTGGATGATGCAGCTGACTGAATAAACGCATAGAAGAATGAATAACGCTTAACTAAGTCAATAAGAACTTTTATATACTTGTCAACTTTGCACCACCAAGATTTCTCTTACACTTAAAACCTATTTATTAGTACAGTCCACATTAAAGAAATCATCTAAAGCATTCTCATCATTATAGTTTTATCCTTTATAGTTTACAATTTTGAAATGGACTGGGAGAAAGAGACATTGTTGAAAAAATAATTTAGTAAGTGAACAAATACATGATGATTATTTAATTGCTGAATATGATTGCAGAGAAATAAAATCTGATAGATAAAAAAATAAAATAAATGAATTCTTGGAATGATAAAAATCACTTCAAATTAAAACACTCTTATCAGGTGAATAATAACCACAATTATTATATTTCCTATATTGTGAAGGCTGTAGAGACATCAGTATAGGCAGAAGGTTTTCAGATTGATGGCTTCATTTCACACAATAAAATGATTGAAATATTCGTCACCTTTCAAGGTTCAATGAAGATAATAGAACACTGGATGTCAGCAAAAAGCCTTGAGCTAAATTACAATAAAATTAAATATATATGGCTTCTTAGAAAGTGCAAACTGCAGTGACTGAATGAGTTCAAAAAGCCAGTTGCGACCTTGGTGGTGTTGTTCTTGACTCAGGCCTTTCCATACTTCCTTCAAAGGTCTTTTTATCACTCATTAATCACGTGAGATAAGAGTAATAAGACATTATTTTACAGAAGAGTCAATAAGAATGTTGGTGTTTGCACAAAATTGATTTTTTTTACTCAGTTCTGCACAGTACTGACAAGTATTGCTCGGCATCCATTAAATTGGTTCCAAACTTTGCAGCTAAGTTAATTGCTTGACTTATAAAATTTGACAGCATTTCTTACAGCATTAAAATGGACTTCATTAGATATTGGCGAGAGTCAAAATTAAAAAATGTAAAACGGCACTAATGGAGAGAAAAAGTTTATCTGAAAATGCACCAGTTTATTTGAAAAAGATGATCGATTTAGTTTTTGATGTCCCTGAGATCAGGAATCACAGAGATCATGTATACCTACATTCAAAACATCTTATTTTGAAGAGAAAATGTTTTCTGTAGTTTCAGCCAAGATTTGGAACTCATTGCTGTAAATTTAAAAGTTTATGCAAATATGAGCCAACATTCCTTCAACAAGTCAAAGCATGAAAGCATCTCAACAGACATGCTCAACAAATCAACAAAAATGGAAAAAGTTTTAGGGGGTAAAAAATAAATTTGTAAAATTCGGGCCTATATATCTGTAGTTTTAATTTGTGCATGAACTATTTTGCAAACTAAGAATAAAACTAACAGCATGAATTCTAGTTCAGCAATAAGTAGATCAACATGTCCTCCTTCACGTGGGGCTGTGTGCAATCTCTTGATTGTCACTGGTTCTTCTTTCCATAACATGCTGTAGTTGTTGTAGATGAATATTAAATATCAAATATGAAAAATAACTGGCGAGTTAACTCACGCCACGTTTCGCGCTGTTATCATGCAATGGCCTAGTCCGAATACTGTCTGGCCTGTCCAAATCTCAAAAACTATCCTACGCCCTACATATACGATGCAGTGCTTGCGTGCATACATAATGCGTATGTAATGTACAGCGTGTGGTGTGGATGGGACAACTTTGTGGCACAAATGTTTAATTATAAGTACTAAACGATATGTAAGCAGTTTTGCATTTGACAAAGCTGCTTAATGAAGTGGAAAAAATGCAAGGAATGAAAAAGTGATTACATTGTCTATTGTCCAACCAAACCAAAATAATTAGTTAATCACTTACCAAACAAATTAGTTAATCATTGACCAAACAAGCAACACAGATTTAAAATAACTGTAAGAATTTATTGTTCAGTTATTTTACTGGCTGTAATTAAGTTGTAAAATTTAATAAATTTTTGAATTTGTTAAATGAGAATGGACCACCCTTTAAGAATTCCGCCATATAAATACCAATTAAAAACAAACAAGCTAACCACCTAACTGAACTAACCTATCACCCCACCAGCAGCCACTAACCTTTCCATCACAGTGTATGGTCCATCATCCCAAGTGTAGCCATATGGATCATGCCTCAAATTGTCTAATGAAATTATAGGAAAGCAACTGACTCCTCCATACGACTCATCATTACTTACTAGAATCTTTATTGTTAACAAGTTACATTTAGAAATAAAAATTATTATCATTTATTAATTTATTTTATTTATATTTAATACAGCATTATTTATACTGCATGCACACGCAAACACACACACACATACATATATATATATATATATATATATATATATATATATATATTTATATATATATTAAACACGCAATATATATATATATATATATATATACAAATATATATATAAATATTAAAATAAATATATAAAATGCGCTCTTATGCATGCTTTCATTCATTCACGTCTTGACTACTGTAATAGTTTTTTGTATGAGGTTTCTAAAAAAGAAATAGCCATGCTGGAATCAGTTCAAGATAGATACCGGCAGTCGATGGCGTAACCATATTACGCCAGTTTTAAACAGCCTCTATTGACTGCCTATTCATAAGAGAATTATTTTTAAAATGGCTGTTATGGTTTTTAGATGTCTGAACAATTTGGCATCCAAATATTTGGCCGATAGATGTTTTGAGAGGTGTTGAGTGACTATGATTTGAGATCAAGTAGTGTTAATACGTTGGTCACGACTGTGACCAAGCTTAAGATTGGTTCGCGTAATTTCTCTGTAAGTGGTCCAGCTGTTTGGAATGCTCTTCCTTGTTGCTTGCATCAAACTGGATTATCACTGGGTCAGTTCAAGAGGGAACATAAAACACACTTATTTCGAATCTGAATTTTAAAAACTTGCTTCTTTTATAAAGCAGTAACAGCGCCGGTGTAAGTGTTATAATCGGCGCTTTATAAGTTTCCAAATAATAATAATAATATATGTTCGGGTAAATGACCATAATTAAAGCAGTAATTTATGAAATCTACCGAATTTTTAGCATTGGATAGTTTTTTTTATTACATTTTTTAATGTCGATATTAAAGTTTGAATAATGTACAGTTTTCCAATTCATTCTTGAGTGAATAGGACCAATTTCGATCTTTCAATCATTTTCAGCACTTGTTGCAGTTTATATAGGGAATTTGTATAACCCACGCCTTTGTTCCTGTGATTTGCATTTATTGTTATTAATGATAATAACTTATATCACTAATAACAATAAATGCAAATCACAGGAACAATTACTGACCAGAAATATATTATTGAAATCAAAGCGAACGAACTTAACAAAGATATAATTAAAGGACAGGACCAAGATATAATAAATAGACAAAGAGAATTGTAAAACTTTAAAATATCCTTATATAAGCGCTGACGATGAGTAAAATCAAGATAGGATCAATACATTTTATCATGAACACCACTGAATTTCTTATTAATTTCAATGAATTGGATAATAATTATAAAATTACTGTTAGAAATATTGAAGAGCTCAACCGTAAACTTTCAAAAGCTAAAAATTCGGTAGATTTGATCAAATATTGCATATATTATGGTCTCCTTCCAGCATATATATATATACCAAAAACATCATGCACACTAGAGCCCTGCGCGGTTGGAATTTTCAAAAACCGCAACCGCACAAAACCGCAACATTTGAAACCGCAACTGCAACATTTGAAACCGCAACCGCAGCGCCGAACACAGCAAGAAATGAAAAACAACATTAATGCTTTTATTGACATTAAAAATCACAACTATCTACATCTGTGTTCCAATATTGTTTTAACACACATTTGGCTTCACATTTGTTACAACAGATAAATGATGTAGCCACGTTTTTAAAATAAATTCTGCTAAAATTTTTCCAAATTTCACTTTTAGAATTTTCTTGCGCTTTTAAAGAAACGTTTTCGCTTTTGGACAGCATCAATTTAATCAAAAATTCTTTATCAATTACATCTACCTGTGGATCAACTTCAACATTTTTTACCTCGGACATTTTTATAAAATAATCGATAATTAACCACGCCGTAAATAAAATAACTACTTCTTTCAAAGTAAACAGGATAAAGAAAATGGTTGCTTCAACGGCTTCCAAAGATATTAAGATTTTTCAAAGACAATATATATAATAATTATTACAATGATAATGCAATTTTTAAAATGTTATGGACGAACAAAAATATTTAACAAAATTTTTGCGGTCACCGCGGTTTTGATAAAAAAAAACCGCACCGCGGAAAAACCGCACATTTCAAAACCGCAACCGCTTAAAACCGCATAATTTAAGCACCGCAACCGCAAAAAACCGCGGTTGCGGTGCGGTTTTTTGCAACCGCAAACAGCGCTAGGATTTTTTGCAACCGCAAACAGCGCAGGGCTCTAATGCACACACATATATATATATATATATTCATAGATTAAAAAATTATGTATATAGTTTTTTGGTGAAAAAAGTGTAAATACAGTAATTAAGGATGTGTAATTTGCTTAAATATCTAAAATCAGTGAGTCAAATAAATTAACTAACTTTCCCAAACCCATCAGATAGAATGGTTCCAGTATACATCTTGACCGCTTTTTTTCTCCACGGTCTCAAAAACGACATGTTCTTGTTATCCATAGTTTGACTAACAATTTGGAAATTAAATCGTCATTAAAACAGTTTTATATAAAAACGATTTTATATATAAATTGCATTTACAAACAGATCAAAATTCTTTAAAAATCTATACTTCTATATATATATATATATATATATATATATATACATATATATATATATATATATATATATACTTTTAGATTTCCAAAATTTAAAGCCTTGCATAAATCAAACTAAAATCTATACCTTTACCAATTTTCTTTTTTAACATACAGCCAGACCTTTTATACACTGAAATGATGTCATCTCAGTGCAAAAAACTTATTTTAAACTTATCAAGGGTCAATGGCCTGTATAATTCATAGTGAACATACTAAGAAAAGAGAATAATGGACACTGTCCTTGGTGACAATTAGAAAAACTTTAAGAACATTAAATGGGTGTTTTGCAGATTGGTGTGCTTGTTCAAGAGATGAAGAACAGCTGTAAAACCAGCTGTAAAAACAGAAGGTGGATTAATCAATTGAATGTTCAGGTTTGTTTATGCCAATGTTCCGCATTAAACTTTCAACTGTTTACCAAGGAGACAAATAAAACAAATGAAAAAAACAAGTAGGTTTCATATTACAAGGGCAGGCAACATGAAAATATAAATAATAAATTGTTAGTTATAACTTAAATTAATAAGCAGTTTATAAATGCATCAGAAATAATGAATAAAACAAACTTCATTAAGATGGTAGTCTCTAGATAACTATTGCCTGAGTTGTTAAGAGCAGAAAGTCGTTTCTTTTCAATAAAATCTAACACACATTTCTTTTTCTTTGGATCAAATTGTTTACTAATCCAATCTATCATTGATCTTCCTTTAAAATCATGAAGTCTTAGATCTCCTCCTGCATGTATAAGGCAACTGAGAATATGTAGGTCTCCATTAAAAGCTGCAACATGCACTGGAGTTATTCCTTCAACACTTCGACTAATAAAATTTTTAAATATTCTTCATTCTAAAATATCAGTTAATAAATCTCAAAATTTTGAAAAATAACTTAAATAGTTTAAAGATCTCTTCATGCAATGTTTTTATCCATATTTGTAACAGTGACAGTGGCAAAATTACATTTCGTCATTAACACATTCAAAAGCATCAAAAAGCAATTGAAGGCACAAAGTTTTTTAGATTCAGATTTGAAAGAATTGTATATTAATGTTCATGTTTGTTAACCGTTAAAAAATGAACACAGGTTATATTCAAGAAAAATGCCACACACGTGTATAAAATTTAAAATTTGTGTGTTCATGCAAGCGATACGTACGTACCATGCAGGTTAGTTGTCTGTGGCAATAGTACTGGTTACTTTTGTGAACTATACGTGAGTCCAATTTTTATTTATATTTATTTAATCATAACAGCCACTTCTATTTGAGACTGCTTCCAATAAGACATTTACATGATTGTTATATAAAATGAGTACAAACTAAGTAGACATTCAAATTTTGCTAAACTAATGTACCAAATACAATGCAACCACTACACAAATCAAAACATTTATTGACATAATCAAGGCCAGATTTAATTTTCTCTGGGTTAACCAACAATTTCTAACACTTCTTTTACTAAAACGAGTGTTTTTAACAAGCATTCAATGGAAAAATATTTCAAATTAGTATTATTCATCTTTTTTTGTGAAAAGACTTCAGCCCTGCCTTAAATCTGGCCTTGATCATTATATAAATAAAAGATACCACCAGTGAAGCATTGAAAAATTGTTAAAGTCGCAGTAAATGTTTGTCTATGGTAAATTAATTAGATCTTTGGTAAGTTTATATATGGCTCTCTTGTAATTCTCAGAGCACATTACATATACATAGCTTGCTCATGATCTTTACTAATTCTCATTCAACAATTTTTGATAATGGAACTCACAAAGGGAATGACTTTTGAGACTGCACAATTTGAGCAAGATTACATTGACCAATTCGCCAACGAAAACAGTCACATTTGCATAAAACAAACAACAGTGTGACTATGCAGGTATAGGTATAGCATACAATTAGAAGATGAATACAAAAAGCGTTTTTTAAGAAATAAAACTCTCCTACTACTTATGCAGTGATTTGTGATTATACTTTCCAGGTTTATGAACAGAAGATGTGCAATTTCAATTGACAGAATGACCAGCCAAAACACAACAAAAACTGTTCAAAGTTTTGGGATCAAGACATCAGTTAATCTAAACAAATAAAAACACGCTGACATTAAAATGTTATATTTTATTGTCGCTTGAATAACTGTGCCAAATGTGGTTTATCAGACCCACCAAATTGTGATTGACCAATATTGCCACAAACTGGGTAGATTACAAAAGGTTACTGGTGCCACAGAATTTGAATAGCCAACGTCAACAACAACACACATTTAGAGGACATTTCCCCAAGATCGAATTTGAATAGCCAGCAATTCAAAAAAATTTGTTTGTAACAGATACATGAAAAGTGCACATATGTAATGATAATATGTAAGCAACACTGTATTTCATTTTATTTTTTTATTGTTATGCTATTTAGTAATAAAAATTTACAGTGTTCAAATAGTTTTGGTTTTGTTAGATTGTTTCTTATGACTGAAAACATGGTGGGACAGATTGATTTTTCATGTATTTAAAAACAATTTTCATGTGTCTAAAAACAATCTAATTTTTGAATTTAACCTTCTTTATAGTTTAAATAATAAAAATAAATATAACTTCAAATTTAGGAAACCATGTATATAATCAAAGAAGTAAACACTGTCAAACAAAATTCTGTTCAAGACTTGCACCTGAGTATAGTATAACCAGTGAAAACTTAGTATTTACTAAAGATCTAGTAATTTATTTTGTACATACAGCAATTTCCGCTAAGTAAGCAAAAAATCAACGTTGTGCAATTTACTACAGACCTAGTAATTGCTTATCATTAAACTTGAAGCAGCGGTATTTATTGCCAATGAAGTAAAATACATGCACTGAGGTATTCATTGCAGATGTAGTAATTTATTTAACTAAATGCGAATGTAGCCTCGAACATAAATAAACATTTTATAAAATACAAATATAAGATATATTTTTATATTATATAAAAAATTCCCAACAAATTAGGATCTGCTCCATGTTTCAAAAGACATTGAATAACATCCTTGTGCCCTGCTGAAACTGCCAAGTACAAGGGAGTTTGTCCATTGATATTTTGTAAATCCACATTGATACCTACATTTCATTTAATTAAAATTAACAGGCATTCAAATTTAAATGAACAATAATGCTATACTACTAAACTATGGTATAATTATAAATATATTACTATATCTATAGCATAGATTATACATTATAGCAATATTGAGAAATAAACAGCAAAATTGACCAGTAAGTAAACAATAAATCCAAATAATTTTAAATCAGAGTTATAGACATAGTTATCTAAAATAAAAATGATACTTTAGTTTCCAAAAAAAATTTCTTAAATTGTTGAATATTATACTATACAATACATGAAATACAGCAGTCTTTTTACGTACCTTTACATAATAATTTTTTCAAGCGCTTTTTGTCTCCTTTAATGGCAGCTTCGTGAAACAAAAAAGAGTCATCATATGTCCTTATTTCACCAAGACCTAGTTTCAACTTTGAGACCATTTCATATAAAATTATAATGATCGAATTCGCGGAAATAATTAGTTTGCCAAAAATCAAAAAAATAACTAATGAGTTATCGTTATAGTTATACTACTATAGTTAATTATTTTATAGGGTAGGCACTATAATACTATAATAGCGCCAAGCCAGACAAACACGCTAGACGGCCATCTTGAAATTGTAGGGTTTGAAAACAATTAGATATTAAAAAAGAATGTTCAAATAAAACTCATCGTTGTATTATTAAAACCAACTGAATTAACTAATGTAAATGAACAAGAGAAGTTTGTTCCTAAAAATTGGAACGTAAAACTGACAAATCAGACACGAACGTTAATTCGTTATTATAAAAGTGAACGTGTTCACACTTTACCAAGCGCTTACTATAGATCTGAAATTTTTTTCATCGTATATCTTTTGCGGCGTTTCATATAATTTTTTTTTTATTATTATTCTTTAAAAATCAGGATCTGACAGACGCAGAAACTGTAACAACATGCAAGGCAGTAAAACAAAATTAAACAAATAAGTGAGAAAATAAATACAAAAAGTGAGGAAGAGAAATGATAAAACATGAAAAATAAAATATGTTAGAATAAAATAAATAATAATAATAATAGAAATAAAAGAAAAGTAATTGACGATGGAATATAAAATGAAGTAACGGCAAATTGATAGACTAGATGATGACTTAGTGAGTTAGTGAGGTGACCGGTAAATAAAGGCTAGGCCTGTGTGTGAAAAAGTTTTAATGAGTATTAATATATTTGATGACTTATTAATAGACTAAATGATGACTTAGTGAGTTAGTGAGGTGATCGATAAAAGTGAGGTGATCAATAAGTAAAAACTAGTTCAGTAATGATAAAGTTTTCTTAAGTGCTAATGTGTTTGAGGTGTCTTGTGATGAAGGTCTTTTCCTGGTATGTAGATTGGGTGACGACTTGATAGTTATGTTTGCGCTGACGAAGGTTGTGTGTTGTAGTTTTGATTGGTGGTAGTAGAGGATGGATGACGTGGTTGTTGTTATTTTCTATTTTCTTCAACAGCCTTGAATCGAGTGTGTTGAATATCTGAGTGACGGTAGGATACGATGCAGGTAGGTAGTTGAAGCGAATTAGTTTTTTGATGAGATTGTAGCTGCTGAAGTTGTTGTTGCGTGGCAAAACCAGACTAGGAGGGAGCTGCATATTTGATGCGTGAGATGATGAGTGATTCGGTGATGTCGAATAATTTGACGCCTCTGAACCATGTGAACGGTGTGTTTTGAGTGCGTGAAATGTTTGAAAGCCTTTTGTGATGATGTAATTGATATGAGGTGCTATATTGAGTGCGGAGGTGAATGTGATGCCTAATATTTATAGTTGATTTGTGCGAGTGATTGATGGGTGTTGTAGGTAATGTTATTTTTTTACGACTACTGTGAATGATGAGTTCGAATGATTTATTGAGATTAAGTGAAAGGTTGCATCGTTTTGACCATGTGGTTAATGAGTCGAGTTCTGATTGGATGGTGTTTGAGCTAGATGATGGGATGATAAGGTAGGTGTCGTCAGCGTATTTGATGATTTGATTAGAGCTATGGAAAGTTTTGAGAGTAGAAGCGTTGATGATGAAGGTAGATGGACCAAGGACAGAACTTTGAACTACGCTAGAGTTTATAGGTAGAGTAGATGAAAGAGTAGAGCTAAAAAGAATAGAATGACTCCTGTTAGATAGGAAATTAATTATGATATTGTAAATGTTGTCAGGTAGTGGAAGAGAGGCTAACCTATTTGAAAGTGAGAAGTGATTGAGAGTGTCAAAAGCTTTAGAGAAATCGAGGGCAATAAGATGAACATAATTATTATTTTCAAGGAAAGATGTTATTGTGGAAGTAAGAGAGATGATGGCGGATGTAGATGAGCGGATGTAGATAATATTCTGTGTCTAATCAGTTAATCACGGTTTTATCATATATCTCAATTATCTTTTATCATATTATATATTCTTAAGGAATTGAATTTTTTAATGAATTTTCAATAACTATTTGTAATATATATATAATGACAAATAGGGTTGTTTTGAAATTGTTTATTAAATTTTGTAATATAGACAATTCTGAAGAAGTTAATTTGTTTTTTTTTATATAAATTAATTTTACTTTAATTTAAATTATTTTTACATTACTTTACTCTATAATGTTGCGGTTGAGTTTGATGATGAGAACACCGAACCAGAAGAGCAGTGAGCGGGAGAAGAAAAGAATAGTATTCGTTTGGATAGGCTGGACACGTGTTTCGTCCCTATTGGGGACTTATCAGCAGCCCGAATACCTATCAGAATAGTTATCGCAGTTTCTTATAAAGCCCGCACAAATCACCTCCTTAGTTCGTGGTGTTTTATTTTTTATTAGTCTTTTTAGTCGCTAGGATTTTCAATCCGACAATACTTTCCCACCAGATCGTCGCAGCGTGTGTTGGCGAACGTGATGGATGAGGTTGCATTGCCGGGATCAATCCTGTGTTGTTTATCGAAGAAAGATCTGCGTTGGAGTGGAAACTCTCGTTGCTTGTTTTTCCAAATTGTTGCGATTGCGTTTGATGATGATGAACACCAAACCAGAAGAGCAGTGGGCAGGAGAAGAAAAGAATAGTATTCGTTTGGATAGGCTGGACACGTGTTTCGTCCCTATTGGGAACTCATCAGCAGCCCGAATACCTATCAGAATAGTTATCGCAATTTCTTATAAAGCCCGCACAAATCAACTCCTTATTTCGTGGTGTTTTATTTATTAGTCTTTTTAATCGCTAGAATTTTCAATCCGACAATAAATAGTCGTTTATTTCTTTATATTTATTTCTTTATAATTCATGAGTAGTGTGGTGTACCGTATTGTATTGTTTTAAGGGTTGTTTATTTTACTGCCCACAACTTTTGCTAAGAAAACTATCGACTAACACAAACCAAATCAAAAACATCATGATAGTGATACGTTGAATACACCTTTCTCTGTGGCAACATGGAACGCTAGAACATGGTACCTGACTGGAAAATTTGAGAACGTAAAACAAGAAATGAAAAGAATGAATCTCAGCATTCTAGGAAACACGTGGAAAAAATCTGATGTAATAACTTTTGAAGAAGGCAAACTTATCTATCTACTCTGGAGGTGATTCACACAAACAATGAGTAGGTGTACTTTTTGAAAGAAAGAAATTTCTAAACATATAAAAGGTTCCTGGGAGGTGTCAAAAAATATTGGTAGTCAAAATACACTTAAAATCTTTCAGCCTAGCTGTTATTCAAGTTTATGCGCCAATGATTGAAAGCAGTGAAGAAGACCTTAATGCTTTTTACAGTAATCTTAATGATGCTTTAAAAACATGTAAATCTCAAGAAGTTGTTATTATGATAGGTGACCTGAATGCAAAAGTTGGCTCAGAAAAAATACGTGGCGTGGTTGGTCCTCATGGAATAGGTGAAAGAAATTAGAGAGGGGAAAATTTGATTGCATGGTGTGTCCCAAATGATCAAATTATTACCAACAACTTGGTTGACAATCACCCAAGGCGTAAATATATTTGGAAGAGTTCCGGAGACAATGCAAGGAATATGATTGATTACATTACTACAAATAGACAATTTCGAAATGCTGTTTTACAATGCAAAAGTTACCCTGGAGTTGATTGTGGCAGTGAAAATAACACAGTTGCTTGTAAAATTTGAATAAAGTTAAAATAAATCAAAGAGTGAAGTGGCCTCGAAATGTTTGAATAATTTTGTCAGTCTGTCACAAAATGTTGTCACAAGGTCAAGTATAACGTAAAAGTAATAGTTTACAGTTATTGACGGAAGACGTAAATGAATCTAAATATGAAATATTTAGAGATGCACTTACAGAATCAGCTAGCGAAGTTATACCTGTAAAATAGCAAAGAAGAAGTCAGAAATGGATAACAGATGACATCGTATCTCTGATGAATGAACGAAGGAAAATGAAAGACTGCAATCCTATTAGATACAAAAAGCTGGACAATACAATCAAAAAATGTGCTTAGAAGCCAAAGAGAAATGGTTAACGACAAGTGCGAAATCATTGAAAACGTCATAAAACAGTAATACAAATGCAATATATAAAAAAATCAAAGAAATTACTCGAAGAAAAGCTTGTACCGTTTCTGAACGCATAAAAGTTAAATCCGGTAAGTAATCTTAAAGAAAGAAAAAGTACTTGAAAGATGGACTGAATCCATTAACGATCTTTTCGATGATATCCGTGTTGATAAGGTTGTGGAAATATTTGAAAATTTGGACATTGGTGAAAGAGTTATCAATGGGTTATGGAAAAGTTATCAAAAACCTCTTATGGGACGAAGAGCATCGATGAATTGGTAACAAGATGACGAATTTTGTCGACATAAAGAAAGGTGTTAAGCAAGGCTGTGTATTCTCTCTAGACTTATACAACCTTTATAGTGAGATCATCATGAGAAAGATAGATTTATCTGGAATATCCATTGGAGGCGTGAATATAAACAATGATACAGCTGTTATAGCGGATTCAATGGAAAAACTGCAAACAATTGTTACCAAACAGGTTTTTAAAAGTGAAAGAAAAGCTTTGCAATTTAACATCAACAAAACAGAGTGCATGTTTATCAGTAAAAGCAAAACTGCTCCAAACGAATACTTTCCTTTTCTTCTTTTTAGCCCGAATACCTATCAGATTCGTATCGCATTCTTCTTATATACCTGTTCTTTTTTACTCCAGAATACCTATCAAATTCATATCGCAGTTTCTTCTTATATAGCTCTCACGAATCACTTCATTAGTTTGTGGTGTTTTTTATTTTTGAAGATTGTTTTTTTAATCGTTAGGATTTACGATCCGACAACCAGCAATAAAATTAACAAAATTAAAACTGTTTGAATGCTACATTTTTCCTGAGCTTAAAAATAATTTTATTTAAGAGGTAGCCAGTGCTGCAGTTTTAAAAATGGAAAAACAAGAAAAAACAAAAGAGTATTAGATACAAAGAAAGCAGCATAGTTGATAGCTTTAAAGAGTATAAAGTTTAATCAGAAATACAGAAAAATAAAAAAAATTAAAAGCATTCCCGTCTCTTTCTGTTTCGCTGAGATTGTCCAGGCTTTATTGTTCATATAAAAGAAAACTCAGCAAGCTGGTTTACTAAATACATGGTCTGGCATGTAAATTTTTGGTTGTCACTTTTGTACTGAGTTTAGCCATAACTGACATTGATTTGGCTATCTTGCTGTTGACTTCACATTCGACGAAGGTAGGTAAATCTGGTTATTTCTGACCCAAAGTAGCAGAATTATAGCTTTATAATATTGAGAGACTGATTTATCAATTTTGATGTCTTGGACGCCTCTGACTTGAGCCACTGTTATCCGTTTCCATGTGCAACAACGGCATCGACGGAAAACAATAACTAACGCACAATTCTTTGAATTTTGTCTTAGCCTGAGACGGCCAATATTAAACCGGAGATTCATATTGGACGTCAAACGCTGCACTAACTATAACCAAAATTTTTCGTGTAATTGTTATGAAGGTCGAATTAGTCAAATGGTCAAAATAAGTTTGGAGAAAGTTGCAAACCTTACAGCCAGGACAGATTATAGATGGTTTTACCGTATGCGCTGTGTGTGTTGTGAAAACACCTCTCGATCATTATTCCGTTTAAGAACCTCAATTCCTGTATAAAATTTCCACGTTTGTCTAAAACGAAACTCTTCGGAAACCTTTTCGGTGACACTTATCACAATTGAATTAGTAATAAAAAACATTCTTTTAATGAAATTTTTTTGCATTATTTTATTTAAACGAAACAAATTCTAAACTTCTTAAAACACAGATAGATATAAGCTTCTATTAGTTTTTAATTAGCGCAAGGTATGAATATATGAAGCGCAAAACTATTAATAAGTGAATCTTTTTCCTCTAATTTTACATTAGCATTTTTCGTGATGCCATTACAGCCATTTTGACAGTCAAATGATTCTTCGTGTGGTTATATTGTTATAATCTACGAACACTCAATTTTTCAGCGTGATTTTTGTTGATTTAATTGCTTTCTTTGAAAAAACTATTTGTTACATTTGTTGACGACATTGGTAATCTGCTGCACTCAGGGTTGGTACTTCTCAAATTTTTGTTGTATTTATTATTTATATTAAAATTTAATAAAATTATAATATAGATTACAAATTTTGTAATTTTTTGACTAACGGTGAAGTTATAGTTTTAAAAAATAGGCTTGTTATTAGTTATTATGAGCGTTTTATTTATTCTCATTGTATAGCACACTGGAGAGTAAGAGAGTTATTTATTTTAATTTAAAATTATCTCACCTAAAACAGTATGAGAGTACAATTGCACTAAACTTGTTACTCGTTTAAAATGAAAACCTCTTCCTCTCCATTTCCTATGTTCCGCAGTAATTTGTAGCAAAGCAAATTATATAACAATTCATAACATTTAAAATTTATTTTGCATCTTGTGTTTGATAGATATTATCTGATAGAAATCTCTAATTTAAAATTTACCATTTTTTTCTGCAATTTATTTTACATTTTTTGTTGAATATGTCATTTAGTGAAATTTAATTTGTCATTTAATGAAATTTAATTTGCTGTGATGGTTGTAACACATTGAAATTTAATTTGTAGAACACATTCAAATTTTAATTATACTTGGTATGATGAATAAAGTTTTATAAGTTCTGTTGAAAATTTGTTTTTAAAATTGTTTACCATGTTCAAGGAGTGTTTGCTAACAGCAGCAATATAATATTAGAAAGCAGCAGACCATCCTTTTTACCTATTGTTAATTTATTATGTACTATGTCTACTGTTTTTTGTACACATTTGTGTTACTTTATTTCAGTTTTTTTGAGTTTTTCTGATGTAGATAATCATTTTCAAGTATTAAGATTTTATGTTTTAATAGTATAGAATTATATTTTCTTATGAACTTATTCATAATAAAACAACATTTTCTATAATTTTCTTATACAGGAAATTAGAATTCATCCTCTAAGTAGTACTGAAACCAATTTGACTCAATTAGTGATACATTGACATACATAAAATATACACTGGACAAGTGTATGTTTTTCTACACACACACACACATGCACATACATACAGTTACATATAGCTATACATATGATTATATAAAACATTTAAAGTTAGAAGCTCATCTTAAAATATTGGACTTGTTCTATTGTTCATATTAATCTTAATTATCTTATAACTTATAAAGATTGTTTTAATTATTGGTTTGTAAATTGTTCTCATGTTGAGTTCTATTGAATAACCTGCTTGTAAGCAATCACTAATATTATATTTATCAGCAAGCAAAATCAGAAGTTTGACATATTAAAAAAGATAATAAGTTTGAAAAATTTTAAAAAGATAATAAGTTTGAAAAATTTCAAAAGAATCACTGAAGATTAAAAGTGAATTTTCAACATCAACTTATCAATAGAAAAATCATCAACAATTATAACTGAATAAAACTGTTATAAACTTTCACAGTATTTTGAAATAAATAGCTTATCTATCATTTGTTGTAAAGGATCTCTCAACATAAAGATATATACACAATAACACACACAAATATATATAAATTGTTCACTTGTATCCCAATACCGCTTAATGCCTCAGCTATCTGAAATAATGGCCAATAAAGAAAACACAGAAAATCACATCTCATCTCGAATGGAACAAATTCACATAAAGTTAGTACATGTCCTGTGTTTGAATTTTGTTGTATGGTATGCTTTTTTAAAATATTACTTGGCTTGTATGCTTTTCACAATTTCATATTTTGATGATCCTCTTTTGACAGTTTCTAAGTTATCTCTTGCATTTATTTGTTCTTGAAGTAATTTAAGTTAATTTTCTTATGTTGCTGGGAAGATTTAAACATTTTGTAAATTTAATGGTTTTTATGCATATTTTTCAATAATTAATTCACATAATTTATGAAAAGAGTCATGCCAATCTAATTCTATGTATGTTGTATATGCCATCATATATTCTCATTCACAGTTTATTTTATAGTTTTGTATGGTATTTTTTATTTGCAATTACAATGTTTCAAAATGTTTATTTTATTGCCAAATTATTTATAGTTGTGATGTTAATTATTATCAAGTGATATGATAAATCTGTAATCTTTAATAAGCTGGTGGTGTGGGCATTGCAGTAGTATAATGGTTAAGATGACTGACACTGCAGTTCGAATTCACCGGGATCAAATGTAAAGATATCTTTGCATACCATGTGCATTGCATGTGATGGGCTAATTCTTATGTATTTACTGTATTCATTGTGTTGATACCTCTGTGAAATATGAAAAAAGAAAATTGCAATAATGAAAATAATTGTGAAAAATAATGAATTTTACCTCATTATTTTAAAAATACAGTGACAATAACAGTGATCAGAGCTGGAAATCTAAATTAAAGATACCAGCTAAAGACCACCGATACAAAACTACAGTTAGTTACATAATTTGCTAAATGATAGGCTGCATGTGTTTTCTCTATTTTTTCATGCTAACATTTTCATCTCTGATTAATATTTTTAATCCATAGTTATAAATTTTACTACAGTTTATTTAAGCATGTACAAAATATGTGTGTTTGAACATTGCAGGATGTCACAGACACAAAAGGCAATGAGTTTGAAGATTATTGTTTGCGTCGTCCACTTCTTATGGGTATTTTTGAAAAAGGTTGGGAAAAGCCCAGTCCAATTCAGGAAGCCAGCATACCAATTGCCCTGGCTGGTCGAGATATTCTTGCACGAGCTAAAAATGGAACTGGGAAAACAGGAGCTTACACTATCCCCATATTAGAACGCATTGACCCAGAGAAGAATGCTTTACAAGGTTTGTAGTTACATAAATGAAATGTTTTTTTGTTTTATAAATATATTTCAGATACAATATTTCCTTTTTAAAAGCAAAATTGTTTGAAATTTGAAACTGCAAACAAAAATTAATTTTTATTTTAATAAATATTTATTGGTTATAATCAGCATTTCATGAAGCATCTGTGCAATCAAACTAAAATGGATGAACATTTTTGAACAATCTCAATTACCAGCTCTGATCATTGTCCCAACGCGAGAGCTAGCTTTGCAGACAAGTCAGATATGCATTGAACTTGGGAAACATTTAAATGTCAAGGTCATGGTGACAACCGGAGGTACTAACCTTAAAGATGACATTGTCAGATTGTATGATCCTGGTTAGTGGAGATGTAACTTTAGCATTATAAAAGGATTTTTCTTTGTGACAGTTTGATGTCAGGCTTTGTGATTTGATCAGACTTATGCATTAATGGCTTGTTTTTGCTCTTAACTACAAGATTATTAATTTTATGACAAACTAACCAATGATAAACAGTGCATATAATAGTGGCCACTCCTGGTAGGATAGTGGATCTTATGAACAAAGATTTAGTGAAAACCACAAGTTGTAAGATACTGGTACTAGATGAGGTTTGTTGAATCACTGGTGCTCAGTTATTAAAATTATACTCATTTATATATATGTATGTATATATATATATATATATATATATATATATATATATATATATATATATATATATATATATATATATTAGGGACACAGAATGTCCTAATATTCAGTTTTGGTCATTTCAAAGACAAAATAGTGCAACATCCATTTAAGTTATAACTTTTTTTGGATTTCAGATCGATAATTGTTTATTATTAGTGGGAAATTTATTGGTTGGCCTATTTCATATATAAATGTTGCAGAAAATTGCTGCCCATCTGGTGTTAAGTAGCTTTTTAATGACAGGTCTTTAACTGGTGTGTTGAGTCTATAATTAAAAAGCTACTTAACTCCAAATGGGCATAGTTTGTTCTATATTTTATATATATATATATGTGTGTGTGTGTGTGTGCGCGCGTACATTTATAGGTATATATCAAAATGACTAAATATTATCAAGTTTCGTATTTTCACATGCAGGCTGACAAGTTGTTGTCTCAAGACTTTAAAGGCATGCTTGATAGCATTATCAGTTTTCTTCCTAGAGAGCCTCAAATACTTCTTTATTCAGCCACCTTTCCCCTCACCGTCGAGGAGTTCATGGTCAGTGTGTTGAATCATTATTTCCATCCTTTACTTTTCAACTTAACATCATTAACTGAAATTTAAACCAATTCCAAAAGCTGCTCCTTTGTTAACATTAAATCAGTAATTATTTATTTGTCTTTATTTAAATATTATTTACATCTCTTCATTGGGCTGGATGATTGTTAAACAGAAAAAGCACCTCAACAATCCTTATGAGATCAACTTGATGGACGAGTTGACATTGAAGGGTGTAACTCAATACTATGCATTCGTTCAAGAACGACAGAAAGTCCATTGTCTCAATACACTCTTTTCTAAGGTTCGATGTGATATCAGACTAGAACTTTTTGAATTATTTGCGATAAAATGCTGCTGCCATTTAAGATGATTATTTCCAATTTGATCAAATGCAAATGTAACTGAATCTATCTAATTACTTTTTAAATGTTCCGTTTACAGCTACAGATCAATCAATCTATTATTTTCTGCAACTCCACTCAGAGGGTGGAACTTCTAGCAAAGAAGATCACTGAATTAGGTTGTTTATATGTTTTCGTTGGTAGAATTTATTTGTATTACCATGTGTCTCTATTAACTTGGTGTCAGTTACAGTGACGCCAACTAAAAAAGCTTTTATTAACTGCTAGATAAATGTTATGATGACAATTATGTGAAAATAATATTTGCTACTGCCTTAAAGGTTACTCGTGCTTCTACATACACGCTCGCATGGATCAACAGCATCGCAACAGGGTCTTCCACGACTTCAGACAGGGTCTCGGTAGAAATCTTGTCTGCTCTGATTTGTTCACTAGGGGTATCGATATACAGGTCAGTTGACTGAAAAGTGTGAATCAGTAAGTAAGTAAGGATGACTGGTTTGCAGGTGATTGCAGTTTGTCAATCAGGGTACCTGCTTTCTGTGACAATTAGCTTTTGATTGAAGGTTGTCTGATGATAGAAATGGTTGGTGATAAGAAGTTTTAATTAAGTTAATAATTTCTTGGCATCCTAGTAATGTGCTTCCTATCTTGGTATATAGACGCCTAAGTTAAGTGAATCGTTGTAAGAAATGATTTTGAAAATTTGTTTCTTTAAATGTAATTTTGTGACATGAGCATTGGTGTAATTTTTTACATTAAAAATGTCTTGCAGTCTTGATGATATGGCAATAAGAAATTTTAATGAAGTTGTTTATTTTTTCTTGACATTTATGTAATGTGTTTCTTCACATCAACATCTTTCCATGCAAACACCATTGACAACACGTGAACAATCTCTATTCAAATCTACAGTTGTTATATGCTTGCAAATGTTAACAAACAGGCAGTAAATGTGGTGATCAACTTTGACTTTCCGAAGCATGCAGAGACCTACCTGCACAGGATTGGTCGGTCGGGCAGGTATGGTCATCTGGGTATTGCCATCAACCTCATTACCTATGACGACAGGTTTTAGTCTTGAATAGATATTTATTCTTAGGATTAATTTATATTGTTTTTCATTCAATTATCTAATTTTTGCATTCAGGTTGATCTGTTTTTAAGGTTGACTCTTACTCCTATAGTCTATTATTAGTGCTGACATATTATCTTTTTAAGGTCACCGTGTTAGCTCAGTCAGCGGAAGTGCAATGTTTTGCACTGCTATTATGCGATGACATGATTCGAATACTGTTTGTCCAAAACTCAAAGATCATCATACCCATATGATGCAGTGCTCACGCGTGCATATATAATGTGTATGTTCGTTGTGTGGTGTGGAATGTGTACATACAGCCTTTGTAGCACGAAAGTTTTATTATAAGCATAGATTACCATTTAAGTAGTTCTGTGTTTGACAGAGTTGCATTATAAAAAATAAAAAAAATTCTACCTTGATGCTTAATTAAGGCTGTAATTATTTCTTTTTTCTGACTTCATTCTGTTTTGGTTTATCCAAGTTTTTTATGATATGAACAAATTTCATTCAATGTTTGTATCAATAGTTGATGCGAATGTAATTAATCGAGTGTTGGGCATGAACAACCTGTTCATGGATGTTTTAAAAAAAGGCTTTCTTATTTTGCTGCTTTAGATTCTCCCTGCACAAAATCGAGCAAGAGTTAGCGACGGAGATCAAACCCATCCCGAAGGTCATCAATAAGGAGCTCTACGTTGCAGAGTTCTCACCTGAAAACATTGAGGAACAGCAACAGAACGGGGGCGGTGGGGAATCGAAGATCCACAACAACAGCAACAACATGAACAGTAGTGGCAACGTTAATAATAATAATAATAATAATAACATCAGTAACACTACTAGCAGCAATAATAATAATAAGTAACATTTTAAAAGTTAATATGAATAACGATGAAGATGACTGCAGCAGTCACGATAATGATTGCCCTATCTATTATACGTGATGAAATAAATTGTTATTAAGTTGAAGTCGTAACAATAATAGCGCTACCAACCATATTACTACTACTTTCATTACTTTTATTATTTTGATCATTATGATTATTATTTTCAGAAGTCATGCTTAGTTCAATGGTCGATACACGCTTAAGTAGTGAAAGTTGAGAGTGAGAATTAGGATGTTGAAAACATGAAATATTGTGAATTAACAATCTAAGAATAAATGATAGAATTTTTGATGGCTATGTATTTAAGATAAGGTTATATCTCAGTTTAAATTTTTAAAGATAGACTATGATGTAAATTATCGACACGATGTCATGTGATTTGATGGAGAAGTATAAAAATGCATTAATTGGGAATATGTTCAATTGCATCATTACCTTGAATGTGTGGATGTGTTTGTATGTGTGTTTATTTGTGCACACATATAATATATATTCATCTATGTGTGTGTGTGTGTGTCTTTGTCTCTGAGGGTCTGTCTTTGTATGAATGATATTCATAGGATTGATAAAAATAGTTGGACGACATGGTTTTGCTTTGCATCTTGTGAAAGTTTATTGACCTGTAGCGATGATGATGGTTGAGGAGTGGTTGTGTTGCTGAGGTTGATTGTGATGGTAGTCTGTAGGTCTCTACTAATGAGTTGTAGGAATCGATCTTTATGTGTACAACTGCATGTGATTTAAAAGTATTTGACAGTGAAACGTTTTATAAATGAGGCTGAGTTTTTAAACAATGTGTGTGTTTTTGTTTGTCTGTGTCTTTACATAAATATTGTTAGTTATGGAATGCTCATGTGTGTGTGCGTACGTGCATAAGAGTACGCATGTGTGTTGATAGCTTAAGGTATTATATATATATATATGATGAAGTTTTTTTTATTTGTTCTTTATTTTTTTGTTTGTGGGAATGTGATGTGCTTGAGAAAAATAATGAATTTAGTTTTTGTGTGTGCGTGTGTGTTTGTGTCTTTTTGGAGTGCTATTTTGTTTTAATGTTATGTTCTCATATGTAATAAGAGAGCCAGATAGGTTGAGCTGAATTTCTGGTATAAATTTGTATGTATCCGTTTGTAAATATGTGTGATTGCATCCTGGATGTGTGAGGTGCCAGCAATGTTGTTGGTGCTGAAAATAGTGTTAATAACCCCTTCATTTATAATAATATCATTAACAAGAAGCCTGTTGGTGATAATGGTGACACTATTAAGGATTGAATGATGTATTTATTCTAGTATCGTTCTAGTTATGAGTTTATGGGTACATGCATGTATCTCTGTATATTTGCATATATGTCTGTGTATTGTATGTGTGTATGGATACATGTGTGGGCCCATTGTTGATGAAAGCTTGGGATCAATTTTTGGTTCCAAAGTTTTCACTGTGTGGATGCCTGTGTTGTATAAATGTATGTGTGACCGTGTGCACGCTTTTGTGAGCGTATATGGTTGGATGTATACATTACGTCTATAAAATGAGAAGCAGAAATATATAAATATTTTAAGAAATCAAATAGAATCAATTTACTGTTATAACACATCGTATGTATATGAGAGTGTGTAAATTTGTATGCGAGTGTATATATATATATGTATGTATGTATATCTATTAATATATATATATATATATAGTATAATGTTATGTTAAAATATCTTATTTTATTGAAATTTGTTGGTGTGTTTGTTTAAGTGTGTGTATATGTATATATATATATGTATATATATATATATATATATATATATATATATACATATATTGATATACCATAGTTATCTTTCAATATGTTCATTATTGTTTATTATCATTGTGTGTGTGTGTGTACGCATGTTTTTATTTATTCATTTATATAATTATATTTATATATGTGTGATTTCTATCATATATATATATATATATTTTTACAATATTCTATAAATTCTACCGAATGTTTTGCGTTAATATGTTTGTAGTTCGTTTTTTCGTTTAAAAACGAACTACAAACATATTAACGCCAAACATTTGGTAGAATTTATAGAATATTGTAAAAATTATGGTCTTACCAACATATATATATATATTATATTTATATATATATATATATAATTGCACGCATACATTTGTGTGTGTGTGTTTTAATGTTTTTTATAAAATAGCAGTCTGAATGATGCTGTTGTAGGTGGTGCATTTTAAAGCACGCAATCACAACAGTGCACTGCGAATGGTTTAGCGAAACTGGTGGTGATTGAGGATTTTCGTGGGCATCAGTTTAAAACATTTCAATAAAAAGCCCACGATATGTAAGCACCCCTCGTAGTTTTTGAAATTATTTTTATTATTAACTTTATTGGTAACGTTAAGGATTAACGCACAATATTGTTATTATTATTGTTATTATTATTATTGTTATTATTATTATTACACTTTAGAGATATTAGTTTTTAAATATTTATACCGGTTACTGTTAATGATTATTGGTCTTTATAGTTTTTTATATCTGTAAGTGGCAGTAGTGAACGTGTGAATGTATTTGCACGTGTTCCAACCTTTATGCATTTCTTTATATAAATTATTATTACTACTACTATTTATCTCCAGTCGTTTACAAAAGGCTAGTTGCGTGGATGGCGTGTGTGGTCCAAGATTATACAAGTCTTTCCTTCAACATAATATACAATTCATTATTATTATTTAACAGTTTTATCACAGTTATTGTGTCAAAATTATATTATTACTTGATAGTTTTACTCTCCAGGAACCATCAGCTGTTGTTACAGACTGAAGATCCTCCCCACATATATCGTCTCTCTAAATGGCTTCGCTGCTCAAGTCGGCACCATCCATCTTTCTCTCCCGTTCTCCATTCTGACATTTCGCGCAGTTCATATAGCTTTGTTGTCAATGTTGGAGGTTAAAGTCAGCCCACTTGATGGTCGGCTGCTGATTTAATTGCTGCATCCAATTCTACCCCCATCTATCGTGTGTCAAAATTATATTATTACTTGATAGTTTTACTCTCCAGGAACCATCAGCTGTTGTTACAGACTGAAGATCCTCCCCACATATATCATCTCTCTAAATGGCTTCGCTGCTCAAGTCGGCACCATCCATCTTTCTCTCCCGTTCTCCATTCTGACATTTCGCGCAGTTCATATAGCTTTGTTGTCAATGTTGGAGGTTAAAGTCAGCCCACTTGATGGTCGGCTGCTGATTTAATTGCTGCATCCAATTCTACCCCACACAAGCGGAAACTTGTTAACGTTCAATGAACACATTGGCGTGATCCTCATCCATCTCACTCTCGCTTTTTTTCTTGGTGCTACCTTTGTTTTTACATCCATAACCAATTCATTCGCCGAATTTTAAGTTGATTTCTGAGCTTTGGTTTGTGTGGAAAGGTTTATTTTTATGTGAGAACTTTCTAACATTCAGTCATTCTTTATATATAAATGTGCATATACATTTTTATGTACCAACTTGGTTATCGTTTGCAAAATGTTAGACCTATTATCACTTTATATATCATTATATCTGTTGAGAAGATAAATATCGTTCAAATCTAACGTTATTTTTATTTGAAAACTGTTAGTAGTTCAACGCTATGTATGCTGAATAAATTTGTTGCATGTTTTATTTAATTCTAAATTGAAATCTCACAAATTAAGCCATTCATTTAAAGGCTGTTTTTTCAGAAATCACCTGTATGTTCCATGCTGTTGGATGTGACTGTACTGTGGCATCTTGACAATTTGGATTTTTGAATTGGTTCATTTTATCATTTATTCATTTTTTTCAAATTGTTCCTCGTTTCATTTGCCCTTACTCGTTCATTTTGTCGCTGAGGTTTTTAATTTGAAGTTAAGGTGTGTGTATGTGCATGCTTCTGTATGTTCAGGTTAACTGCAGCTTTGTTGACGACCATGATATCATACATCATCGCTGTCACCACCACTATCATTGCTCATTTTGTATGCTTATCAAGCAGTCAATCATGAGCATTCTATTCGTGTAAGTGTATGTCAAGTTTGTTTTACTTAAACGTGTCATTCGATAATGTTGGAAACTGTCGCTTGTTTGATAAATATTTATTTTTTATTAAATCTGTTATGATTGTTTGATTGTGTAGCTTAAACGTTCAATTGATAATATTTGAAGTGTCTGTTGGTGTTTGTGTGTGTCTGTGTGTCTGTTGGTGTGTGTGTGAACGTTGATGATGCAATCGTAATTCTCTGCGTGTATGTCTCTACCTGTGTGATCTTGTATTTGTGTATGTGCCTGTGTTTATGTATATTTATGCACCTACGTGTGTAAATTTGAGTGTATACAATTGAATAAAAAAATATTTTAGTGATACGTACGTATAATAGTGTGTATGTGTATTTAAATGTATGAACAAATGGTTGGGTGTCAAATCAACATACATGTGTGATGTATTCAATTGCATGAACAAATGATTATAGTGAACTAATATACACGCATGTATGCATGATGTGATAGACTGATGTAGGTATATATGTGTATTTAACTGAATGAAGAAATGATTGAATGTTAAGTTGAGATGTAAATGTAGGCGTGAATGCATGAATTCAGTTATACAAACTGACGCGCATGTTGTGGAGAAACACATCCCTCATCTAAACAAACATACTCCACACGTTAGGCCAAGAGTTTTAAAGATTGCATTCTATCCAAATCATACACTACAACTTGACACCCAAAACCTTTCATAGAAATTTTAATAAATATGTTCCAATACACACACTCAAATTAGTTCAACTACATATACACAATTATGCACAAATATTATTATTATTTGATTAACTTTTAGTTCTTTGGTGTTAAGTTATTTTTTTTTCCTGTTATATAATTGTTTGGTTTAATGGATGGTGTCATGACGTCATAACTAGTGTGGCATGTTATTCACATGATGTGGAACTGTGTTGTTCTTCAGTTGGAATGATCGTTGTTATTCTTATTTCAGTTGGTTAATATTGTAAGTGTATTATTTTGTCAGGTCAATCTAAGTTTTATTATTTATGTTGTTCTTTGTTTTTGAATTTATATTATTTAAATTGATT